ACACAACACCTTTATAGTTCTAGATTTCAAAGACAAGTGGTTGGTGAGGATGCTTGTTGTGGTCTAGGAAGCGTGAATTGAGAGAGCAAGGTAAGGTAGATAAGATGACTTAAGTTTCTCGCATGAGATACATACGCGTGTACGAATGTTTGTATGGTTTCATCTTTTCCGCTACCAATAATAATCTAAAAGAGAGGGACCAAAGTATGGAGTAAGATCACATCATGTGGGTCGGTGATTTGCAGCCTCTGCAAGTACTTTCTCTTAAAAGCATTTCACTTTTGGTAGGTACGTAGTAACATCATATATATATTGTCTTTGCCTTGTAAAGGAGGTGAAGCCATTGTTGTCAATGAAGCGATGTGATGACCCTAATTAAACCCTAAACCAAAATATTTAACTGATCTAGATTTTCCTAGCATGGATTGCTTGCCAACTTCTGTACTCATTACTCAATGGTTCTTGCTTGCAATATCATATTTACCCCTAACTCAAACACTCTATCATTCTTTCAGAGATGAATGGAGCTGTAATTTCCTCATTGACGTAATGAAGATATCCACTAATTAATTCTTTTTCTGTATTACATTTAATGGAAACAAAATTATCTATTTTTGTCTTGCTAGCGGCACCCAATCATTTAGCTAACTATTCATTCGCCCATTCAATGCATTAATTATATTTGATTGATTATGAATTTTTACTATCTCGAATTTTATGAAATTTATATACTTTTTTCAATTCTCAATTTAAATCAGTTTTTTTTTTTTTTAGATTTTTTTAACTATATTAGCTTAAATAATATGGTTATTAAAAAAATTGTCAGATTCTAAATGTAATACATTTTAAATAATTTAATTACATTTTTATTATTCAAACTTAACCATATTTTCGTTATAATTATCTATCAAGAAAATAGTTATATTTTCTTCAATCTTCAATAAGTTTAACTATATTAGCTTGAATAATAGTTATAAAAGTAAAAACAATATTTTCTCCATTTTCAATATAATTTAACTAGTTAGTTAAATTCGACCGATAGAAAAATAATTCGGTGTATCAGTCTGTAGGAGTATGTGACTGACAAGTTTCCCCCTAAAAAAACTATAATTTCTAATTAATTTGATTCAATAATTTATTTTGTTTGTTAGAATTAACAGCAAATAACCTGTTTGATTGTGTTTTTCTTTTTCTTTTTTAAAAAAATAATTTGTAAAATAATTAATGAAATGAGTGTTTTTTGTGTTTTTGTTTTTGTTTTAAAGGTTAAAAGTCAAAATACAAAACAGAAACAACTAAAACATATTCTCTAAATTTGATTCTAAAAACTAAATTTTTTTTCTATAATTTTTAAAATTATTTTTACAAAATAAACATTACCAAACATATTTTTTTGTTTTCTTATTCTAAAAATTAAAAAATTATTTTTGAAAACAATACTCAAACATGTACATAATTTCTGATCCCACACTATATATTATGTCGACAGAGAAGTTCTTTAATGGGAGCAGGTATAAGATTATTTTCTTAGATTATGTTATTTAAAAAAGATTGTCAATTGGCAACGAATCGATAGGGTTGTGGCCAAAAGTCAATAGCGTCTACTAGGTGATTAAGCTGGCATGAAATTGCATGCCCGACAGGCCTTTCTTCTAATTTTAATTTCTTTTTCATCATGAATTATCTCTGATATTATTAAAAGGAAAAATAATTTTCTACCGCGGTATTTATCTCAATTTTCCTTAAAAACAAATTTCTTTCAAATGTTTATAACAACACGAGTAAAACAGTCAGGTTCTAAAATGTAATTCAGTTTTGATAATTTAACACCACTGATTTTTATCCTTTTTTTTAATCTTGATTATTCCATTTGTAACTTTTAAAATTATAAATATTTTGTCGTTGAAAAACTCATATTTTCATTATTTTTTAAATATATATGCTCATGTTTAGTGTGTGCCTATTTTCTAGTTGTTTTTATACAAAAATGTAAATAACTAATAGTTAATAAAAGTAGTGCTGAATAGGAGATCGAGAAACCGAAAGTAATGTTGAAAAACGAAAAATATTGACCCATTAAAACTTGTTAAATTTGAATCTATAATTTACCTGGAAAATGTAATATTTACCAATCGACCAAGTTTACCACTTCTTACCATTTTTTTATTTATAAATATTAGATAATGGTCAAGAAAGCATGCCGGAAAGAGGAAGTTGAAAGAAAGATAGAGCAGAGGAAGTGAATCAAGAGATAAAGAAAATTTATATCAAATAATAACCGTTGATTTGATTTTATTCGAGAGTTAAGAGAGATAATATGAGATGATAAATTTAATTGATTGTAAGTTTAACATCTCTCATTTTACACACCGAATTGTTTGGAGTAAACTATTATAAACTAATACTTTATTTATTTATTAACATACTTAAATCTAGTTTGATCGTAGAAATGTATTTCATAAACATGAAAATTCACTTAAAAAAAAAGGAGGTTACAGTTACAAGTATTAGAGGTGACAAAGCGGGAATGCAGTAGAATTCGTAGCATGCTGAACCGAAATTGGAAGGTTAGACTATCTCACGTTCACAAAGAAGAGAATACAGTAGCAGATGTCTTAGCGTCGTTGGCTTCTCACGTAGATTGGGATTTACATATCCTTAGGAGTGTTCCACCTCCCTGCATGGAGGTTGTTAGGAAGGACATCCAAGGGGTTACCTCTCCTTAGATGATCCGTGTAGTTCATTAGGCTTCGGCCTTTGCTTCTCGTTGTTTTATTTTCCTTTTATCCAAAAAAAAGAGAGGTGACAAAGCGGACAGCTCATCCTCCTAAAAAATGAGTCATCCCATCCCGTTCTGCTTTTAAGAGTACGCTGAAAAACTCAGTTTACTATTTCTGATTTGACGGGTGGGGCGAGTTGGCCCACCGATTCAAACCTGTTTTACATTAAAAAAAAAACCAAAAAACTCGACTCAACGAGTTGGATCATCCCGCCAGGGCAAGCCCGTTTTACTGGCCCTACTTACAACTTTTTTTTCTTATAATAATTTTTATGTTTATAGGATCAAAATCAAATCACCGGTTATAAAATAATATTACATTAAAATTCTTAATTTAATTTTAATCGAACAACCATAAAAACAATTATAAAAAATTATAAAATAAAAGATATTATAAATATAACTTCTCCCTAAAAATAATAATCTTAACACATATATAAGTAAGGGATACCTATTTTTTTTTTTTACTGTATTTTATTTTTGTGGTTTTTTCCTCTACCAAATCTCAGTAATCAGTAAGGGCAAGTTTGGCATCACCACTGCCCAAGTGACCCGTCACCATAAATATTTCCTTTTGTTTGCTACTGTGAATCATTAATTATATGGTGGGACAACTTCGCTTTCTAACCAAATACCTTGACTTTCATCATGCATGATAATATTACTAGTCAAGTAAAGAATCTTAAACTAATAATACGCAAGCAGAAACGTATTTTATATCTTGAAGTCAGAGAATTATTTGTGATGTATATTTTGAAGACAAGTATTAAATGATTTACATTTTGTTTAATGCATTGTACTTTACAAAAGACAAACTGTTCCACCACCACGGCCTTTGGCTTTAGCATCCCACTTTATTCCAATTATTGTCATTCTATTTGCAAGGTGGAAAGGAATATATATAAAAATTTCCAAAAAAAAGAGAGGAATATATATAAAAAAACATGGAACTTCATAATTAAATTATAAACTTGACATTTGATACCTCCTTTCCTCCAATACCTCCACATATTGTCGGTTTTGTATAAGCATCTGTCAAAAAGGAAAATTAGATGAACCTGAAAGCAACCTATGATTGCTTCTAAATTGAACACGAGAAAAACAAAGATTGTATTTGTTGCTATAAATTTAATAATATCTTTAAGATGCTTTAAACAGTAGTTATAAATTAATATTTGTTTTATACTTTCAACCACTCTGTCTTTTAATATATATCTTTCCAGTTAAGGACACTCAATCAATGATTGAAAATAAGTATTTATTTTTGGAACAAATATAATTAATTTAAATTTAACAATATTATATTTGCATATCATTAGAAAATTTATTAAAAAAAGTAACTATCTTTTCGAAGCCTAAGATAATGAGCTTTACAATCAATGTGAAGAAAATTATATAACTATAATTTAGCTTTTGAAATTTGTGCTTTTCTTTTAAATAAAAATCATTTGATGCCAGAGGTTGAAGAAGAAGAAGCGAGAAACACGAGTGAGAAAAGAAATTGCCAAATATGGGTACTACTTCCCTTTCCTTCCCTAAAGAAGTAATAACTCTCCACATTTTCAAACTAACTATGAATGAATTATGTAATGAAAGAACGCAAAAACCTGACGAATACGATTGTTGTAATATTAATATCCACAAATTAATCAAGGTGATTAAACATAATCATGATTTTGGACCCCGTTAATGTTGTTGGAATGAGGGACTCTGGTTACTATGCATTTACACGCATCCCTTCCTTGGAGGATACTGTAACGTTATTAATATAATAATGTCTTTTTTTTTTTTAAGTACATATATCATAAGGATTTTATTAATATCATGTTAAAGCAGATAAGTTATCTCATGTCATATAGATAAATTTGTGAGTTTCATCACTTGAAAAAAATAAAAAAATAAAAAATAATACAGTTATTTAAAATTGTGTAGGAAATTTTTTTATCTTATATAATATCGAAAATAGTTTTTCCATATCATAATGTCTCTTAAACAAAAGAATTATCAAAACCAGAACAACTCATTCTTTTCCTTGTTCAGTCTGCGTCTGTTGTCCTTTTTATAGTTGGTGAGTCATACAGTGTCAGAGCCGACACCCCAGAATTTATTGCCAATGTCCCACCTCAAAAACAGTGACAAAACATTGCCACTTTGTGTCTTTGAGACACAGAAAATGGGGTAAAATTTCAATTTTTTGCAGCTGCTGATGAGGATCCCATTGTCGGATTCCATGATTCCGGGGTGTGTGGATCCAAACTTGTTCAAAGCACGATGCTTTTTGTGGTTTTCTCGATACCCATTTGCTTAGTTTGATAGTACTGGGCTCCGTTAAGTTGTAGTTGATCATTGTTAACTTGAATATCAAGGTCATTCACTTGGTAAGTACTTGATCTCATGTAGTTATTTCAAGGTTCGGCTTTTGCTGAGGTCATCAATCGTTTTGCTCATGATCACTGCCTTTTGTTCCTTTTGATGTCTGTCTCTTTGCTTTTCCGTGCCTGCAGTCTTTTTGTATACTTTTCTCTTCTTCTGTAACCCTTCATGATCAATAATCATTTTGCATCGGATCCTACCAACATTCATTGGCATATTTCGTCTGCTCTAATAATTTTGTTGGTCATTTTCTGCGTTATCGTTATTATTATTTTTTCTTCTGCTCACCTTCAGGATCTATTGTTTGATCATAGAAATCGTTGTTGCTTGAGGGCAATTTTCTCCATTAAGTTAATACCATCCATACAAAATGTAAGCAACAAAGAATATGTATTTTCTGGCTGTGCTTGGACTTTGGAACCTTGTTTTGCATTTTGAGGTCTGTATCTGATGTAAATTCATCATGATGGAGGATGGTCGCTTCGCTTCTATTTCGTATTTGATGTTTCATGTTATTCTCTGGTCCTGTAGTTTAAAGACCTTTTTTTTGGTACAAAAAGACGTAACTTTTTTTTTAACTCTCTTGTTCCTTTATGTCTGGCAGTGTCATATTGTCTGAACAGCTGAAACAAAGAAGTTCCTACACTGATAAACTGGAGCTGTGTCCAATTTGGCAGGTAATACAACATGTGTTGAAAAGAGTCTATAACTTTTTATACATTAAGCCTTGAGTTGGACTTTTCATGATGGTATACATTTATTTGATGATAGGTACAAGAAATGGCAAAACAGACCTGAAAAGTCTCGAATTAGAACAACACTAGTAGTGGGAATCTAGTCTTATTATAGTCTTTCCTGGATCCAACAATATCAGGCCCTAGCCAAATCAATACCAGCTGCGCTGTTGTTCTTCTCTGGAGTTATGGCAACCTTGTCACATTCTGAGTCCAGGCTCTCATATTCTTGGTGGTGGGATAGCCGCATTAGCCCAATCAATTCAAAATGGCTTCAGGAAAACCTTGCAGGTGTGTCCTTTTACTCTATATGTACATGTCTACTATTGTTAAATTTGCTGCCATAACAACGATGCTACAATAGCAGAATCAGCGCAGTATTTCATGTCAATGTCTGCTTGGATGTCAGGGACTAGTGTAAATATTTTAGAAGCTTAAGCTACTCCAGTGTTGTAACAGTTTTCATGGTAAATCATATAAATGACTGACTTCCAGTTAATCTGTTGGCTTCAAAATGAGTTATTATCTTGGCTTACAGTTCACCTGTGAATGCCCCAGGGTTCTGAAGCTTGCTGTTAGTCTTTTCACCACAACCAGATTATTCGTGGTGTCTGCTTTCTAGGTGTTACTTATTTGGTGGGTTTTGAAAGATTAAATGTATGCAACCTCATAGTTTGACATATGCAGCCCCGTATTGCCAAATCTAATAATTTTTTACTAGATTGTCTTTCTGTCTCGCAAGCTTAGCATGACCAAATTTCATTACAGCATCTTTCCTGGATCCTTTCCAATCTATCCTCGGTTCATTGTATCTTTTCTAGTGCCGAAATCAAATTTCCTCTGCCATTTTCAAAATGTCTATTTGAGATCATCAATCTTCTAACATGAAGTGTGAGCCATCAACTAATTGGTAGGAATAATATATTTACATTGAATGTTGTTACTTGGATGCCAACATAATCATGAATTTGAAATTCACTACGTTGAATTAATGATGGAGATTGAGACTCAAGCTTAGAATTGACAAGGATCCATTTATGAATATGGTTCTTAACTTTATTGAAAGTTGTTTTTAAAAATATAAAGGAAGTGCAAGTCCCGATCGGATATGAGATTAAATGTGCTTATAAATCTTACTTTTGTGAAATTGAAATGATAATACTGAGTTGAAGCATGTGAATATGAATATATGCTTAATGCTTATCATGAAAGACTATGTAATACTAAGTGTGTCTGCAATTTCGTTGTTTGAGTGTTTACATGTTCGCTATATAAAAAGACAAAAGTATGGAAATGGCATTTGAAAAGATTTCCTTTTGATGGGGTGCCTATGGTGCCAATTCTAAACACAATCACTCAAAAGACCAATTATGGTTGAACCACTTCTACCTTTATAAGTTCTTAGACTCACCGTTCGTGTGTAGCATTAAATTGGCATTCGAAGATACACAAAATCTGTTTTCTGCAGTTGACATCTAAGAAAATATATGTAAAAGCTGTTGCCAAAGATCTTATAAATGATAAATCCAGTTGTTATAACCTGTGAAAGATGCTATCATATATAAGTGCGAGTAATTAGGGAAACTATGGCTGATTTGTTTCCATCTTCTGTTCTTTAGTCCAATAAATTTTAACTGATGTTATTTTGTTCATACAGACATAGATGCCAAAGTCAAAGCAATGATCAAGCTCATTGAAGAGGATGCAGATTCATTTGCAAGGAGGGCAGAAATGTACTATAAGAAGCGCCCAGAACTCATGAAATTAGTAGAGGAGTTCTACCGAGCATACCGTGCATTGGCAGAGAGGTATGATCATGCAATGGTGGAGCTACGCAGGGCCCATAAAACCATGGCAGAAGTATTTCCCAACCAAGCACATTACACGGTGACTGACGATTCACTCTGTGGTTCTTCAGGCCCTGATGCTGAATCACACACAATCTATGCATCCTTGGAGCCAGATGACCTACTGAAAGAGGCATTTGGAATTTCATCAATATGCAATATGTCAAAAAAGAATGAAAGCAGTTCAGAAGAACCACACGGTGGCCGAAGCAGAAAGAGTCTAAATCAGAATGTGTTAGCTCAGAACTATCCCGAGTCTGAGCATTCAGGGAGAGCAGAAAGTGAAGTTCAAATCTTAAGGAAAGCCCTGGCCAAAATGCAATCTGACAAGGATGCTATCTTTCTTCAGTATCAGAAGAGTTTGGAGAAGTTATCCGAAATGGAAAGAGATCTTAACAAGGCACAAAAAGATGCTGGAGGCCTTGATGAACGAGCAAGTAAAGCTGAAATTGAAAGTAAAATATTGAAGGAAGCCCTGGCAGAGCTAAAAGTTGAGAAAGATGCTGGTCTAGTTCGGTATAATCAATGTCTAGAAAGTATAGCTAGACTGGAGACCATGTTATCTCTGGCCCAGCTGGATATGAAGGGACTTGATGAGAGAGCTGTTAAGGCAGAAACTGAAGCCAAAAATATCAAGCAAGAACTTATCAGATTGGAAGCTGAGAAGGATGCTGGTCTTCTTCAATATAAGAAGTGTCTTGAAAAGATTTCGGTTTTGGAGGCTAAGATAACCCTTGCTGAGGAGAATTCAAGGATATTACATGAGCAAATTGAAAGAGCAGAAATGGAAGTTAAAGCACTGAGGAAAAATCTTGCTGAAGTGAATGAAGAAAAAGAATCTATAGCTGTCCATTACCATCAGTGCTTGGAGAAAATATCTAAAATGGAGAATGAACTTTTGCATGCCCAAGAAAATTCAGTGCAACTAAAAAGACAAATTGAGGAAGGGCTGGACAAACTTAAGAGTGCTGAAAAACATTGTGATACGTTGCAGAAATCAAATCATTCTCTTCGGTTAGAGGCTGAAAATCTAGTGCAGAAGATAGCTATGAAAGATCAAGCACTCTTAGAAAAGCATACTGAGATAGAGAGGCTACAGACTCTGATGCATGAAGAGCATTCTCATTTTCTTCAAATTGAATCCATTCTACAGATTCTGCAAAAGTTGTACTCTCAATCACAACAGGAGCAAAGAAGTCTTGCTTTGGAGCTTAAATGCGGGCTTCGGCTGTTGAAGGATTTAGAGCTTTCCAAACAAGATTTTAAGCAAGAAATGCAAGATATTGTGGAAGAAAACAGGACTCCGAATGAATTTAACTTCTCTTCAGCTAGGTCATTGAAAAAACAGCAAATGGAAATCTCTAAATTGAAGGAGCTCAAAGACAAACTTGAACGAGAATTTGTTGTAAACGCCCAAGAAAGTGATGCCCTCCAGCAGGAAGCTCATCAAATTAAGGATGATATCCAGCACTTAAATAATAGATATCAGGCTATGCTACAACAACTACAGACTTTAGGTTTGAATCCTAAATTTTTGGCAGCATCTATGAAAGATTTACAAAATGAGAACTCAAAGCTGAAGGAGGTCTGCAAAATGGAACGCAATGAGAAAGAAACTCTTCGGGAAAAGTCAAAGGACATGGATGAACTTTTGATAGAAAATGCCTTCATGGAATTCTCCTTGTCAAGATTGAATGTTGAGATAGATGAATTAAGAGCAACAGTGAAGAAATTTCAAGATTCCTGCCAAGTTCTCCGAGAAGAAAAATCCATCCTTGTTGATGAGAAGTCAATTCTACTTTCACAGTTACAAATTATCACTGAAAGTATGCAGAAACTAATGGAGAAGAATACTTTGCTGGAGAAGTCCCTCTATGATGCGAAGGTTGATCTTGAATGTTTGAAGGATAAATCAAGTAGTTTGGAAGAACACTGTAAGTTGCTAAATGATGAGAAGTACAATCTTGTAAATGAAAGAAGAATCCTTGTGTCTCAGTTGGAGAGTGTTGAGGCGAAACTAAGTAACCTGGAAGGGAGATTTGCAAAATTAGAAGAAAAAAATGGTGAAGTGGAGAAGGACAAAGAAAGCACAAATAATCAAGTAGAAGAACTCCGTGCTTCAATTTTGGTGCATAAAGAAGAGCATGCTAATCATAAACACTCGAGTGAAGCCCGACTGGCCAATTTGGAGAATCTTGTTCATGTACTACAGGAAGAACGGTGGTTGGGGAAGATAGAATTTGAAGAAGAACTTGACAAAGCTGTAAATGCTCAAGTCGAGTTGTTCATATTGCATAGTTGTATAGAAGATTTGGAGCTGAAGAACTTGGCCTTGTTAATTGAATGTGAAAAGCTTGTTGAGGCATCAAAACTTTCTGATAAAGTTATCTCTGAGTTGGAGAGTGAAAATCTAATGCAACTGATAGAAGAAGAGTTTTTGTTACATGAAATTGGAAAGTTTAAAATGGGTATTCATCAAGTGTGTGGGGCTCTTCAGATTGATCTAGATGGTGGGCATGACAAAAGAATCAAGCAAGACGAAATACCAATATCCCATATGTTGGACAACATTGAGGGCTTGAAAAGTTCTCTTGTGAAAAGCCAAGAGGAGAAGCAGCAGCTGATTGTAGAGAATTCTGTCCTCCTAACTTCACTTTGGCAACACCAATCTGAGGGAGAAAGGATGGAGTCAGAGAAAAAGATCATGCAGCAAGAGTACGAGAAAATGAGAGAGCTGAATGTATTGTTGCAGAAAGATAAAGTTGAACTTCTGGAGAAGAACAGGCAACTGAGTGCAGAAGTGGCCATTGGAGAAGAAAAAGAGAATACATCAAAGTCCAAATTGGTGGCTCTGCATGGCGAGTTGTTAGATTTGCGGAGAACAAACCAAGTGTTTCAGGAAGAAAATAGTAAGGTTCTTGAGGAGAAAAATTCATTGCTGAGGAGTGTTTTGGACCTCAAAGATGCAATGTCCGCTGCTGAAGATGAGAACAGTGTAATCCTCCATGAGGTACTAGCTCTAAGAAACCTTAGTTTGGTTTATGAGAGCTTTCTCACTGTGGGAGTCATTGAACAAAAAGTCCTTTCTGAACATCTCAGTCGTTCAAATAGTGACCTCAACCAGGAACTTGGTTTGTTAAGGAAGAAATTTAAGGTGAAAGAAGCAGAGAATGTTTATCTGAAAGACACAATTGAAGCGATGGACAACGAGCTGCAGGAAGCCAAAAATGCAAATTGCCATTTGAGTCATCAGTTTGAAAACTCAGAGAATCTTCTCAAGAAGAAAGAAGCGGAGCTGCTAGACACAGAGAAAAGGCTAAAGGCTGCAGAGACTTCAACTGTAGAGTTCGGCAGATGTATTGAGGAATTGAAGATGGAACAAGAAGAATCAAGGCTTATCAAAGAAAATCTAGACAGGCAGGTTCTTGAACTATCCGAAAACTGCATGAATCATAAAAAGGAAATGGAAAACCTACATGAAGCGAAGAGAAGTTTTCAGTCTGAGATGAGATTATTACTTCATGAAGTTGAACAACACAGGGCTAGGGAAGAAACACTGAGTTTAGAGTTCCTGGATAAAAAAAATGAATGCGAACTCTGGGAGGCTGAAGCTGCTGCATTCTATTTTGATCTTCAGATTTCATCCATTAGTGAAGCACTATTGACAAGTAAGGTTACTGAGCTTACTGGAGTTTGCAAGAGACTTGATTATGAAAGTGCTGCAAAATGCTTGGTGATTGAACAGATGACAGAAAGAATCAATTTATTGGAAAGTGAAATTGGAGGGCTGAACGGGCACTTATCTGCATTTATTCCGGCCATTATCTCTTTGAAAGAGGAGTTTGCATCTCTAGAGCACACTTCCCTTCTTTGGACCAATAAAACTTCTGTTGTAGACAACGGAGAAAAGAAGGTAGCATTGTATTTTAACTCAATGTTGTGTACTTCTGGTTTTCTCTTCCTTTTCTCTTGTCAAAACAGCTTATTCAGTTCGCGTGTATTTTTATTTTTTATTTTTTTTTGGGATACATTCACGTATATTTTCTACTCATGCATGTCTATCATGAATGTTTGTGCAGGATGTAGTGATTGAGAAATGTCTACAAGAAAATAGATATCAGGGTTTAAGAGAAAATGAAAGTAAGTTGATACCAGATGGGGTTTCAGATTTACTGAGCATGCAGACAAGGATTAGAGCAGTTGAAAAGGTACTGATGGAAGAAATTGAAAGACCTCTCAAGGAGGAAAGCCTGACTTCTAATGTTGAAATAGGAACTCTGACAAAAGTTACTGAAGATTCAAATTTGGAAGTTGCCACATATCTAGAAATTGACAATAGAAAATTGGTGATGGAAATTAAGGACGACAGTACACGTGACCTCAATGCATGGAGAACAAAATCTGAAAACAGGTTATTGATGAAAGATATTCCACTGGATCATATGCCTGAGATTAGTGAAGCAAATAATCAAGGTTCTGCTCCAACAGAGGATGCTATTACATGTCATCACTCAGACAATTCAAAAAAATGTTCAGAATTAGAGGTGGAGAAGGAATTGGGGGTTGACAAGCTTGAGTTGTGGAAAACTGTAAAAGAGACAACTGAAGATGGCAAGAGGAAGATGTTGGAGAGACTTGCCTCAGATGCTCAGAAATTGGCCATTCTTAAAATGACTCTGCAAGGTTTGAAAAAGAAACCAGAAACAAAGAAGAAAAGCAAGAAGAGAAATGATATTGAATATGAAACAGTGAAGATACATATAGAAGAAGTTGAGGAAGCTGTCATGCAACAAGTAGATATTAATGATCAACTGAAAAAGGGTATTGAAGAAAGCACCTTATCTTCAATGGAGTTGGAAAAGGGTTCTGAACTGATAGGAAGGTTGCAGTTCGAGGTGCAGAACATCCAATATGTTTTGTTCAAATTGGTCAATGAGAAGAACAACAAAAGAAAAAACAGATTATCTCGTCCAACTGGTGTGTTGTTGAGGGACTTCATTCGCATTGGGAAGAAAAATAACCAAAGGCGCAGTAAAGTTTGTCTTTGTGGATCTTCAAGGCCTTCAACTAATGAGGACTAAGTCACAAATTTAGAGACAGTATGTTGTAAGTACTTACTTCATTTGGGATGTTTCTACAACTAGCGTATCAATTCTTAGTTTAGCTACTAAAGTTGGAGCTTTATCACCAGCAATAAGAGATTATCAGTTTGACTTGTTTGATCATAGGCACAGCAACTTCTTTGACATCTCTCTGTATGTTTTAGCTTCCAAAAGAATTGTATTGTATGACATGAAGAATGGCACTATACCAGTTAATAAAACTCTCCCTGCAATTAGTTTGCACTCTGTGTTGTCCTTCATTTTGGAACGTGTACTGGAAAATTTATTTCCTGTTGTTTTTCAGTTTTACTGACTTATGTTGTGTGTTAATAAAAGAGTCCACTAATCACTTAAATTAGTGCTCCGAAATCCAAATATATATGGGAGATCAAGTTTGTACTCAATTTTTTTTTTTATATTGAATAAACATTAATTTTATTTTAACATTAATTATTATTTTATATTATAAAAAATAAATTTACGTCAAAAAAAATTTAAAAATCAACTCACTCGCATATCTTTAGGGGATAACCTTTAGTCTAAAAGTATCTCCATGTTTTTTTAGCTGAAAGAAATAAAAATAACTCTTTAAACCAAGAATTTATCAGGGGAAAAAAATAATCATGATCACTCTAGAAATACATGAGTTAAAAAATATTTTATTATAAATAATAATTTTTTCATATATTTAGCTAAATACAATAACAATTATATATTACAAAAGTTTAAGTAATAAATATTAGATAAAATAAAATTTATTAACTGATTATGATAAATGAGTTAAATAAGAATAATTATAAATTTTCTATTAGAATAATAATATTTATTGAAATGAATTAAATTAAATTAAATTATCATTAAGAATAAGGAAATGATCCGTTTATAAATTTTTTTGATAAATTTTTACAAATTACATTATCTTTTCTCGGAAGAATATAGTGAAATTAGTGTTCTCCCGAAAAAAGATAGTGTAGTTTGTAAGAGTTTATAAAAAAAAAAATATTGTAAAATAAGGACAAACTTTTAACACGACAGCTAGATAAAAAAAAAAATAATTTGCCTCTGGAGATGAGTGGCTATTTTTGAATCCCATCAATTCAAAGTCAAACATGGCAAACAGCAGCCCCTTCCAATCCCTGAAGTTCCATGCAAGTTCCTTTATATGGCTAGTTTTTTCTTTTTCCATGACTTAATAAATAGGCCAAAACTTACAACCTCATCAACACTGTCACTTACATATGCATCCAAATCAATTAGCAACTGTGATGGAGGGTACTGCTATTTCTTCCAAAGAAGAGAGCGTTGATCTTGATCTGACCCAAATCTCTCTTCGACCCTTAAATCTTTCTGACCTTGATGATCTCATGGTGTGGAGCACCGATGAAAAGGTCGCCAAGTTTTGCTCTTGGGAACCTTACACCAGCAAAGAAGATGGCATTAACTTCATTGAAAATATAGCAAGCAAGTTTCTATGGTGCAGGGCAATATGCCTTAACGATCGTGCTATTGGGTGTGCTTCTCTGTCCTCATATTCAGCCCATGATATATCCAGGAACAAATCCGCAGAACTTGGCTATGTTCTGGGTTCCAAATACTGGGGTAAAGGTATTGCCACGCAGGTTGTGAAACAAGTGGTTAAGGCTGCATTCAGTGAGTTGCCATACTTGGAGAGGCTTGAAGCTCTTGTTGATGTGGAAAATGTTGGCTCTCAGAGAGTGCTCGACAAGGCTGGTTTCCAAAGGGAAGGAGTTCTCAGGAAGTATCTGTTCATAAAGGGAAAAAGCAGAGATATGGTCATGTTCAGTGTTCTTTTAACCGATCCCCATGTTTGATTTGTTTGTTTCGAGGATGTTTCTCAATTATCATTATGTTTCATTTGGAATTAATGTTTGAATTGAATTTGACTATGATGACTATTATACCAACAAAAATATATATATTCAAGATTGGTCTGGTGCCGAAGAATTTGGATAATTGGTCAAGTTATTATATCCCCATCATAAATTTTATTATATATAGTAAAATATAATTATTCTCCAAAATTCTCCTTTCTCTATTCGTCTCTCCTCCTAATTCTCTCCCTCACTCCCTTAATCATCTCTTTCTCTCCAACTACCATTGTACCAACATCGTCAGAGCAATCAGCATGAATGAACTTACAAGGACCAAAAACAAAGACCTCAAGGATATATAATAAGCAAAAGATTGCACAAATTCTTGTTTTCTTAAGAATAAAAGCATGCGACGGGCGAACAATACAAGAAAATTTCGGGTCTTCATGACTTGATGATTCTTGAATTGGACCAATACTTAAAATTTGACAAACCAAAAATCCAAGTTTAGATTGCAAGCAAAATTCTGATTCTCAATATCCACAAAACTGATAAATAAAAAGAAACAGTAGCCCTTATAAATAAAAAAAACAAGAATGCATTATGAATTGGATCAAGCTCCAACTTCAGCAGCTCCCTCGGCCATTGTTTCATCCACAGGTCTGTCCGCCTTTGTACCAATATCAGTCAACTGATCAGCATCAAAACTCTGCTTGCAAAAATAAAATATTTCCACTTAAGAAATTCCTTGGATAGTAATTCCATTATAAAGGATTCGTTATGGTCAACAAAAATCATGAACACATTGAAAAATCTTTCATTACTTATGAGAACATAAAAGCATAGGGAAAGAAGATTTTTGAATAAAAAAGACATACCTCCATCAGTTTCCCAAGATCATACTTAGGAGCTTTTAGGATCTTAACTTTACGAATGAACACATTTTGTAGCGGGTAGATGCTACTGGTCGCCTTTTCAATTTCATTCCCAATCATCTCAGGGAAGAACTTAAGTACCAATTCTTTCAGATCACAGGATGTTGCCTGATTAGTCATAATCTCTCTCATTTTCCTACGGATCTGAAAATACAGTGTATTAATATTATTCGACATGCATTACTCACTTCCCACTCCTCATAACCACAAAAAGAAGAAAATAAAAGAAAAAACAACATGAGAACAGAGAAAACATAACCAAAGGCAAAAACCATGTTGCCATTGTCATGTTCCGAAGGCATATCCAAGAACTTGGAGGAAATTTCGGGGCAAAGCAAAGAGAATACAACACCAAAAGTAAACAAATAACAAGTAATGATATCACTTAGCTCACACCCTTTAAATTTCTGATATTATATCTTCGGTAGTTCAATAAATGAGAAAAGCAATTACAAACATGATCCAGTTAACATAATGAATATTTAAAAGTTTACTTGCATATTAAAAAATAGATTGAAAAAAACCAATTTTTGCATGTCAACAGTTAACAATGATGCAGTGAACATACCTGTCTAATCTGGCTTGATTGGGCATAACAGGTCCTCTTCACCTGGTTACTACGCCTCTTAGTAAATCCAATGCAAAACATCCGCAGCGTATAACCATCTGTGGTTTTGACATCCACATTAGTTTCGATCAATGTTTGCCATTTCCTCACCAATGATCTCAACTTGTCCGTCGTGAAGTCCATTCCCTATAAATTATAATTCTCATTAGATTATGATCACGCAAGACAAGATTGCAAACAATTGAAGCTCGGCCACCATCATACCCAGAAATTGGTCAGGACATTTCTGCCCTGGACATCTTCAGCTCTCAACCGAATTTTCTTAAAAGAATGATCTTCATCCCCTTGAAGATCAGCCAATGAGACCTAAAACACTCGGTGTTTTAATCCTTCAGAAGCAATCTGTTATTTAAAATAGCCATCATGTCATCGTCTATTTAAGCAAGCACAAGTCTCAGCGATTTAAATTGCTTGTACCCCAAATTATTTGTAGTAATAAACGAAAAACATACACTCTGAACCATACCCAACACAATAATGAAGCCAGTAAAATAAGTAGATCACAGAACATAAGCAAATTATAAGGCAAATATATACTAATAGCAATGGTCATCTAAGCTTTTAATATTTAGCTACATGACAAAAATAAAAGTATAAAAAAAAAGGACAAAAATAAAAGTATAAAAAAATAATATCAAATTGCGAACATCCAAATACATCCTTCAATTCTTCAAAACAAAAAAAGTTATTCCATGAAATGTAGCCAACAAAGAGAAATTAAGTCTATACACAGAACGCTATCAGACATTTATGCTAATAGATGTAAATCAAACTCCAAAATCATTCAACCATTTAACTTTAAACCATATCCAATCTATATGTAAAAAAAAAATCATGACCCAGAATATAAAAGAAGACATGTTTTTAAATTTCATGAGGTTCTGGATTGAGAGAAAAATTTACCTTGGTGCCCTGAGTACGAGTGACGAGGGTCTTGCCCACGTTCTTGACTCGGAAGACAGAAGGGGCTTTGATGTCAAACCACAGCTTCTTGGCAAAGGGATCGGCGCTGTAGATTGATATAAGAAGAACGCCGAGTCAAATAAGAGAATGCAAAAATCAAAACTTTGGAAGTGAAGAGAATGGAAACTAACGCCTTCTTCTTGCCACCCTTCGAGATCTTCTTGTTCTTGCCAACAGCCATGCCTCTTCTTCTTCTTCTTCAAAACCTGCTGACGACTGCAGAAAGAGCAAAACTTCTCATATTGAACCGTAAGATATATAGTGAACATATTTTTTATACCGTGAACATATTGAACCGTAAGATATATGAACATATAAAAAAATAATTAAAAAATATACAATATAGTATGTTTTGCCTATGAATCATATCATATTATCACATTTCTTAGGATATTAATTACTATGTTTGAAGGGTTTTAAAAGACTAAAGGTATGTAGCTTCATAGTTTGACATACTCAACCCCGTATTGCCTAATCTAATAATTTTGTAAATTTTGCTTCAGTAGATTGTCTTCTTATCTCGCAAGCTTAGCATGTCCAAATTTCATTATAGCATCCTTTGGCTGATCCTATCCAATCTATCCTTGGTTCATAATATACTTTTTAGTGCCGAAATCAAATTTTCTCAGCCATTTTCATAATGTCTGTTTGTGTAGGGGTGACAGATTTGTGCCTCGACCTGTGTATGTGACACAATTTTTATGTTCAGGTCGACCAGTATTACTGTTCGTGTTGTGTTTGAGTTGACAAAATATAACATAAAAAAAATTGAGTCTGAGTCGTGGGTCAACCTGTAAACCCAAAAATGACCCACGATTTCAAAATTGCATATTTAAAATGAAAAGTAACCCTATAGGCCTATACCATCCAGATTTCACACTTCCTTACAGTTCGATTAGGGCTCTTTCTTTTTAGTTTCAACTTTCGTGCCACTCTTCTCTGTTTTGTAACTTCTGCTATTTTGATATAAGATTCAGAGTATATTTAGGAGTTTGTCATCCTTTAGTTTCTCTTCCACAAGATTTGCAGGTTTGGGTTTTTCTTTTTCTTTTTTTTCACCATGTTTTTACTTCAAGATCTCTCACACACAATTCGATAATGTTTCTGGGTAGTGACAATTTCTCATTGGAAAAGCTCAAGCTGGTTACTTTGTAACTTTACAACCTTTTATTCAGGTAAAATTTCCTCTCTTCAAACATAATGTTCATGTTTTAGTTTTTAAATGTCGTTCTTTTCAATTTTTTGGAATACAGTAGTTGTTCTGTCACTAGATGTCGTTCTTTTCAATTTTTTCAATTTCCTCTCTATCTTTTGGTATTTGGTATGTTATCCATTATTAGTTGTTCTTAACATTTTTTTGTAAAAACTTTTGAGGTTCTTTCTTTCTTTTTCTTTCTTTTTTTAGATTATCCCCCTTTAATTTTATAGGTTCTTTATAGACTAATCTGAAGTTCAGGGCGGCGAGTCTAGAATTAAGGTTTTAAAACTTTTCAAAAGATGATATTGGAAAAGATCGAATATATGTTTTCACTCCACATGCTCGGTCCCTATGCGCCAAATGAGCTATCATGATAGTGAAAAGATCGAACACACTGAGATTCTTTCCGCTGTTTTGGCATCTCCGTTAATCAAATTTGTCCCTCATAGAAAGATAGCTTTGGAGAAATTGACCGAAGATACCATGGAAGAGATGTCTGCTCAAATTTCAAGAAATGATTCTGCTTATAAAATTAATTTTTCAATTGTTCAATAATTCTAATTACTGACTTTATTATTTTAGTTTTGGATAGTTTATGATGGTTTGTATTGAATTATATGTGAATATTATTATTGTTATGGAGATGTTGGGTAAATATGGAGTTTTATATCTTAATTGTTGAAAGAAAATTATAGTATACAATTTAATCATGTCGCGTCAACTCACATATTAAACAGAGTCGTATATGTGTCAATTACACATATTTAAGTTGGTGGCTCATTCGTATTATGTCAACCCTTAAAACAAAAGCGTCATATTTGTGCCGAAGATTTGGATATGAAAATGAATTCATGTTGTGTTGGTGTTAAGTATTCATGTCCAGTGAATCCAAATCATCATCCCTATATTTGAGATCATCACTCTTCTAATATTGTGAGCCATCAACTACCTGGTTGGAATAAAATTTCGTTTGTTGTTGCTTGCATGCCAACATTATCATGAAATTGAAATCCATTATGTTAAATTAATGATGGAAATTGAGACTCAAGCTTAGAATTAATGAGTATTCATTTATGAATATTGTTCTTAACTTTTTATAATTGTTTTTAGGGATAGGATATTGTGACACCTAAGTTATGTTACACCCATGTGACACCCAGTCAATCTCACCGTTAGATCGCTTATGTTGATCCAACGGTTATATTTATTTCCATCTTTGTATGGTCATGATTTCCCAAATTTAATATTTTATATTTATTTCTACCTTTGTGTGGTTATGATTTCCCACATTTAATGTTTTCACTTTAAATTTGGGAAATCATGACCATACAAAGATAGAAATAAATATAATTGTTGGATCAACATAAACGATCTAACGGTGAGATTGACTGGGTGTCACATAACTTGGGTGTCACAATATCCTATCCTTTTTTTTAAACAAAAAAAATAGTGGAAGTCCATACCAATAAATCAGATACAAGATTAAATGTGCTTGTAAAATTCCGGTTTGTGAAATTAAAATAAAAATACCGAATCAAAGCATGCCAACATGAATACATGCTTATCATGAAATACTTTATTAAGTGCCTGCAATTTCTGTGATTTGCTCAATTAAGAGGATGCAGATTCATTCGCAAGTAGGACAGAACGGACCATACGATGCGCCATGAACTCATGAAATTAGTTGAGCAGTTCTACCAAGCATACGGTGCATTGGCAGAGGTGCGATCATGCATTGGCGGAGCAACGCCGGGCCATCAAACCAAGATGAACTTGGAATAAGAACATGTCAACTAGATAAAAATAAATTAACATGACAACTAGTTCTGAAGCCTATTATTTCCAAGTCAACCATGGCAGACAGTAGCCTTCCTATCCTTTATTCCCCTTTCTTGCTTGAATACTCCTGCAAGCTAGCATCGAGTGCAAGAATTAAGATTACAGGGAGGTTACTGGTAGAATTTGTTCAACTCGAAAATCACGAAAGTAACACAACTCTCGAGAACAGTGACGATTTTGCTACGCTTAGCAAAAAAAATTATCAAACTGCCACACCATCAGTAAATTATACCAAAATGTCACGCGGTATATTTCGCTACACTATGTAGCTAAATATGTTTGCAAGTAATTCGCTACACAATGTAGCGAAATATGCCATGTTAGGCTGCACAGTCAGCAAAAATTCGCTACACAGTGTAACGAAATATACCGCGTGACATTTTGACAAAATTTACTGTTGGCGTAGCAGTCTCGTAAATTTTTTCGCCAAGTGTGACAAAATGGTCACTCTTCCCAACTCTCCGCCTCAGGAATATATATAATATCCAAATGATTGCACCAATTCTTGTCTTCCTACCACATAAAAAAATGCAACAGGCCAACAAGACAAGAATATGTCGGGTCTTCACGACGTTCTTCTTGGATTGTGCTAATACTTTAAAATAGACAAAGCAAAAATCCAATTTTAGATTCCAAGCAAAATTCTGTTTCTCAATGTCAACAAAACTGATAAATAAAAAACAACGGTAATACAAAATAACAAACAAAGATGCATAATGAATTGGATCAAGCTCCAACAACTTCAGTGGCTGCCTCGGCCATTGTTTCATCCGCCGGTCTGTCCACCTTTGTACCAATATCTTCAGCAATGTCACCATGGACCTAAAAGGATCAAACACAAAAGCATCATAACCAGTCTACTGATCAGCATCAAAACTCGAAGTATTCCTTCCAACTAAGAAATTCTTTGAAAAATCATTCCATTCCAAAGAATTCATTAATTAACAATGGTAATCAAAAATCATGAACACACTAAAAAAACTTTCAGAACTTAAGTGAACAAAACGACAAACAGAAGGTAAATTTTGAATAAAAAAACATACCTCCATTAGTTTGCCAAGATCAAACTTAGGAGCTTTGAGGATCTTAACTTTTCGAATGAACACATTTTGTAACGGGTAAATTGAACTTGTGGCCTTTTCGATCTCTTTCCCAATCGACTCAGGGAAGAACTTACGAACCAACTCTTTCAGATCACAGGATGTTGCCTGGTTGGTCATTATCTCCCTCATTTTCCTACGGATCTGAAAACATAAAGGTGTAATTTACAATATTAGTTATGCAATAATCCCCTCCCCCTCCTCACACACACATACACACAAAAAAATAGAGTAAAAGATAAAACAATAAAAGAACAGGGAAAACCTAAAAAAAAAAGGCAAAAATCATTTTTAAATTGCCACGTTAAGATGCAAATCCAAGAAATTGGTGGATATTTTGGGGCGAAGCAATGAGAAAAAAAAAAAACCAAAAGCCAACATATAAAATTAATGACGTCACTAAGTTCACACCCTTCAAATTTCTTTTATTATATCTTCGGTACTTCAATAAACGAGAAATACAATTACAAACATGATCCAGTTAACATAAAGAATATTAAAATATATGCTTGCATATTAAAAATAGATTGAAAACAAACCAAATTTACCTGTCTAATCTGGCTTGATTGGGCATAACAGGTCCTCTTAACCTGGTTACTACGCCTCTTGGTAAATCCAATGCAAAACATCCGCAATGTATAACCATCTGTGGTTTTGACATCTACATGAGCTTCAATTAAAGTTTGCCACTTCCGCACCAATGATCTCAACTTGTCCGTAGTGAAGTCCATTCCCTATAAATTATAATTCTCATTAGATTATGATAATGCAAGACAAGATTGCAAACAAGTGAAGCTCAGCCACCATCATACCCAGAAATTGGTCAGGACATTTTTGCCCTGGACATCTTCAGCTCTCAACCGAATTTTCTTAAAGGAATGATCTTCATCCCCTTGAAGATCAGCCAATGAGACCTCAAACACTCGGTGTTTTAATCCTTCAGAAGCAATCTGTTATTAAAACAGCCATCATGTCATCGTCTATTTAAGCAAGCACAAGTCTCAGTGACTTAAATTGCATTCACACCAAATCATGTATAGTAATAAACGAAAAACAAGCATTCTGAACTATACTCAACAAAATAATGAAGTCAATAAAATAAGTAGACCACAGAACATAAACAAATTATAAGGCAATGGTCATCTAAGAATTTATTATTAAGCTACAATGCAAAAAGAAAAGTGTAAAAAAAAAAGGACAAAAAGGAGTATAAAAAAATAATATCAAATTGCGAACATCCAAATACATTCTTCCATTCTTCAAAAAAAAAAAAAAAAAGTACTCCATGAAATGCAACCAACCAAGAGAAATTAAGTCTACACACAGAACGCTATCAGACATTTATGCTAATAGAAGTAGATCCAACTCAAATCATCATTCAACAATTTACCCAGATCTCAAAATTTTAAACCATAACCAATCTATATGTAAAAAAAAATTCACGACCCACAATATAAAAGAAAACCTGTTTTCAAATTTTATGAGGTTCTGGATTGAGAGAAAAAATTACCTTAGTTCCCTGAGTACGTGTGACGAGGGTCTTGCCCACGTTCTTGACTTGGAAGAGAGAAGGTGCTTTTATCTCATACCAGTCCTTTTTGGAAAAAGGATCGGCACTGTAGATTGATATAAGAAGAATGCAGAGTCAAATAAGAGAATGCAAAAATTGAAACTTTGGAAGGGAAGAGAATGAGAACTAACGCCTTCTTCTTGCCACCCTTCTTGCCCTTCGAGATCCTCTTGTTCTTGCCGACCGCCATGTCTCTTCTTCAACCTGCTGAAGACGGCCGCAAGTGCAAAACGAAACCCTAATTTCCTCTGTTTGTGTTACTGTCAGTACCTTCTCTATTATATTCCCTAAACCCTCGGGCTCGGGCTCGGGCTTTGGGCTTAGTTTTCAATCATGAATAATGTGTCTTCACTATACAATTATGACATTACCCACACCGGACAGTGTCCCACTCAAAAAATAAATAAATAAAGTAGGGCCATCCATAAAATCTATTAGGGGATTTAGTAGAGCAGAAAGAAATTTTAATCAGATAAATATAATTTGTGGAGAAATGGTACGAAAGTAAATTTACTGATAAAGTTAAAAAAAATTGTTTGATAAGATGAAATATTACTAAAAAAATTAATTAAGTTTTCAACTTAAATTTTTTCTTTACTAGGCAAATAGGAATTACCACGTACAATATCGTCATCAAGCACAGTACGTTGATTGCAATTTTTCACATAAATTATGTTGCCTAGGCAACCAACTTTTCTATCTATTTTTTTTTTTTTATCTTCTACAAACGTGTCATCTTCAAATCACCATCGGATTTGCTTAGCTATTTAAAACAAAGTCTCCTACCAAACAGCTCATAGAGATAAAGTATATCAGGCTCATTTATTTATTTTAAAAGAATGAGTCTCACATATTTTGTCTCTATAACATGAAATATTAGCCTCCTACAGTATGAGATTAATATTTCCCTTAAATATAGTTGATACTTTTTTTAGCACATCTCTTACATATGTTAATTTTTGGAAAAAGTGTATGTCATTTCAAATGACATAGGTTGTGTCATTTCAAAGACACTATTATTGATCTGATAGATCAAGATGTCCAATCATAGATTGATATGTTAATATTATATTTGTTTGCCCTCTCTCAGGTACTTATGAGGGAGATACCCTAGAGATCAACGGATGATTATGCACTATAATATAAACGACATAGCCAAAGGGTGAGGTGTGTGCACATTGACAAGCTAAGAGACAAGGTTGAAGGTATATGTACCTTATTGACTTAACCCCTTATTTATAGATGAGTTACCTAGCAGGAGTGGACTTTCGAGCCTCTTAGGAGTATTGGGAATCTAATTGTTGATGTGTTGCTATTGTAGTGAGATTAGTATAATTAAGGAATATTTCCTTAATTCTTCTTAGTCGTTAGTCATATTTGGGCCTTCTATAATGTGGACATTTGTTATGTCCATAATAGACACAAAGGTGTGAGTCTCACTAAACATAAAATAAAGATATGAACATCATCTCTTTTGTCTATGAAATTACTCAATTTGTGTAATTTAAAATGACACACATTTTTCTCTTAATTTTTTTTTTTTTTAAAAATACTGTTTTACCAAAAAATAATTTTTGTGTCTTCTTTAGTTAATAAAAATTAATATTTTGTTAATGAAATAAAAACAGCAAAAATTTGTTATAAAAACTTGAAAAGAAATATTATATTAATTATGTCAATATTAAATTCTTATCCTTTTTGTAAATATACTCTTAAATTAAAATAGCAATAAAATATTGATTTTATTTAAATTAATTTTCAAATGAAAAGTTTTAAACCTAAAATCATGTTTAGTAAATATATTTTTGAACAAAATCAACTTCAAACACACTTTAAATCGATCAAATATATATTTATCGAACGACTAAATGTTCAACTACGCATGGTGTAACTCCCTCTTTGCTCATTTCATTAATAATTTTATCAAGCTTAAGTGTCACACCAAAATTGAGTTACAATAATTTGAAGCAAAATTGTAATATTTTAATATATATATATATATATATATATATATATAATAAATAAAATATAGAATATCTTAGATATTTTGATAAAATATCTTAGATATTTATAGACGTAATGATTAAGATTCCTCATATATTTATAAAGGTAATGATTAGATTCCTTAAATTTTTATATAAAGTAATGATTACATTTTCTTTTTGAAAACTATATAAACCCCCCTTAGAAACTTAAGGCTAAGAGAGAAAGAGAAAGAGAAGGAAAGAAGACAAGAGAAAGAGAGAGAGAGAGAGAGAGAGAGGAAGGGGAAGAGAAAGAGAAAGAAAGAAGAAAAAGAAAAGGGAAGGTAATATTGGGAGTAAGCAACTCATTCTCTCCTTTATTTTTAAAGTTGATTTTTAGATATTTTATAAAGCTATGTTGATTTTGTTGTTATCTATGTTATGTTTAAAGTTAATATTTTTGAGTTATTTCTTTAAAAGTTGTGAATATGTCGTTACTCTACCAAAATTATTTTATGAATTTTGTCTACTCTTTTACTGTATTTTCTATATTTGGCTTTGTTAATTTGATGAATTTACTTATAGTGGATATGAGAATAATTGTGAATCAAGATTATAAAAATTAAAGAATTTCTTTGGTACCAATTGAATACTAATGGAATATGTAATTTTTTACTGAATGATTCTGATGTGACTGGCTCACAAGGGGATCAGAATGGTTATAGGGTAAAGGACGTCTTATCATGGCTTGAGCTCCGCCGCACAGAACATTTCACATACAGAACCCGTAGAGTTTGGGCGCTCCGGAATTGAGCATTAGTCATTTCAGTTAAAGATTACACGTTCCTATATATGTATCTAGAACCCACAAAGTTTGGGTAGATCCCACAAAGGTTTGGGTATGACTGAATGAAGAACCCACAAAGGTTGGGCTTATATTTATTGTATATGATATTATTTTCTTATTATAAATTTTATTCTGTGAGAATGATATTCTCCACTTAAGCGGCTGGATCGGTTATAGTTCGAAAACCCCAATATTGCTGAGATTTATCTCACGTGTGTTTATTTTTATGCTAACCTTTCCAGAGTAAACATACCAATATATGTAGTTTTGGAGTAGAATAAAGCTCTATGGCTAAAGACTTTGAAGACTATATGGAGTCCAGTGGAGCAAATTAATAGAAAGAAAATGTTTCTTTTCAGTCTAGATTATGATGTATTTCTGATGTAATAGTGAACTTGACTTCTGTATAATTAAAGATTAAGAATATTTTGTCATATGCCTTATTCCATATTTGCTGCGTTAGAATTTCACTTAAGAATTGATGTGATATCTTCTATCCTAGTCAGTTATAAAGTATGTAACATTTTATGGTATCAGAGTAGCGGTTCAGGTAAATAAAAGACCTAAACTATTATAGTTGCTTATTATTTTGTCATAGATCATGCATATTTTGAGTTACTTTAATGAGCCCGATCAACTCACTATCACAAAACAATATATGTAGATCTATGACAAATACAAGGCATATATCTTCTTCAACTTCTGAACCATAAGTTAACCCAGTAACAGATGCATTTACCCAAGTGACAGAAGCTCATAGAGAACAAACTGTGACTAATCAGCAAATTATTCAGGAGCTTAGGGAGGATTGTGCAACCAAAAATCACACCCATAATTCTGAAAGTGAAAGTAGACCTAGAACTGCAAATACTCAGGGAGGACTTAATTCTGATTATAAAGGACTCACTGAATTCCGTAAGCATAAACTTCCACTTTTCGTGGAGATTATAACCTTGAGGCAGCCATGGAATGGGTGAAAGAACTTGAGAAAATATTCCTGGTAATGGACTGTCCTAATACTCATCGTGTAAACTTTGCCACATACTTATTGATTAGAGAAGCAGAGCATTGGTGGACAAATACCAAAATATATTTCCAAAGTCAAGAAACATAGATTACTTACTTGGACAATCTTTAAAGATGCCTTTTTGGAAAAATATTTTCCTCAAAGTGTAAGAAACATAAAAGAAATAGAATTCCTTGAACTGAAACAAGGAAACATGACCATTGGAGAATATGTGACAAAATTTGAAGAACGGTCTAGATATTCTAACTATGTACAAAATCAACCTAATGAGGAATGGTTGACAACTAAATTTGAATCTGGACTAAAACTTGAACTAAAAAGCATGAGGACACCAAATCAGGAATTTTTCATCATTAATAAACAGGTGCAGAGATATTGAAGCAAGTATGAAGGAGCCTGAGGATGCAAGAGAGAAAGACAGAGCCTCAAATCGGAGAAGGAATGATGACAACAACAAAGGAAGGTTTCCACGGGCGCAAAACTCGAGAAATAATTTTACTAGCAATGGAGGGAAGAAGAATGCGGGTCAGATGAATTTCCAGATTCAGGTATGTCCGAAATGCAAGAAAAATCACGCTGGAGAATGCTCGGCAGAAAGAGGTGTGTGCTTTAAGTGTGGGAAGCCTGGACATATGTTGAGGAATTGTCCTCAAAATCAAGGTCAGAATTCATCAAACCAACCTACAACAAGAGGAAGAGTTTTCACCCCAAGTGATCAGGAAGCGGCTCAAGCTTCAAACCTGGTTCAAGGTACGGGCTTAATACAAGATTCTTTTATAACTGTACTTTTTGATTCTGGGGCTACTCATTCTTTTATATCCTTATCTTATGCTCAAAAGTTAAAATTACCAATCTTCATTTTACCTTCTTATCTTGAAATCTTTCTTCCTACTGGAGAAAAGATAATCACATCTCATGTCAGTAGAAATTGTCATTTTCAACTAGAAGGGAAATTGTTTGAGCTAGATTTAGTTTGTTTGCCTATGATTGATATAGATGTGATTCTTGGTATGAATTGGTTGTCTGCTAATTGTGTGGTCATTGATTGTCATAATAAAAGTATAATTTTCACAAAAGAGTCAGAACTTTCCAGTGAATCTTTATTCTTGTCAACTTCCCAACTTAGGAAGAGTTTGTTAGATAGAGCACAAGGATATGTTCTCTTTAATCTTTTAGAAGCAAAGGTTAAATCTGATACAGCCAGTGTCCCTATTGTCTCTGAATACTCGGAGGTTTTTTCTGATGAAATTCAAGGTTTGCCCCCAAACAGAGAAATTGAATTCTCCATTGACCTAATACCTGGAGTAGGGTCAATTTCTATTGCACCCTATAGGATGTCACCTATAAAGCTTGTTGAACTAAAAAAACAATTAGAGGAACTTCTATCAAAGTGTGTCACCTTGAGGAGCACCAGTGCTCTTTGTCAAGAAAAAAGATGGAAGTACGAGGTTGTGTGTGGATTATAGGCAACTAAGCAAAGTCACCATTAAAAATAAATATCCTTTGCCTCGGATAGATGACCTTTTAGATCAGTTGAGAGGAGCCACAGTGTTTTCTAAAATTGATTTAAGGTCAGGATATCACCAGATCAAATTTAAGACTGAAGATATTCCAAAGACAACCTTTAGGACTAGGGACATTATGAGTATCTAGTGATGCCTTTTGGATTGACAAATGCTCTAGCAGTATTTATGGATTATATGAATAGAATTTTTAGACCTTACCTAGATCAATTTGTAGTGGTATTTATAAATGATATTTTAATATATTCTAGAAATAAAGAGGATTATAAGGAACATTTAAGAATAGTTTTACAAAATTTGAAAGATAAGCAATTGTAGGCCAAACTTTCAAAATGTGAATTTTGGATGGAAGAAGTTAAGTTCTTAGGGCATGTTATTTCAAAAGAAGGAGTGAGAGTTGATCATAGTAAAACTGAGGCTGTAATACACTGGGAGAGACCTAAGACTATCACTGAGATCAGGAGTTTCCTAGGATTGGCAGGATATTATAGAAGATTTATTAAGGGATTCCCACAACTAGTGTTACCTTTAACTAGGTTAACTAGAAAAGGAATCCCTTTGTTTGGACACAAGAATATGAAGATTATTTTCAAGATTTGAAGAATAAGTTGACATCTGCACGAATTTTAATAATCCCTGATCCATTAGAAAAATTTGAGATTTATAATGATGCATCTAGGAAGGGATTGTGATGTGTCTTAATGCAAGAAGGAAAAGTTGTAGCTTATTCATCAAGACAATTGAGACCTTATGAGGAAAATTATCCAACTCATGATTTAGAATTGGCTGCAGTAGTTTTTGCCCTTAAGACTTGGAGACATTATTTGTATGGAGTCAAGTTTGAGGTTTTTAGTGATCATAAGAGTCTTAAATATTTATTTGACCAAAAAGAATTGAATATGAGGTGGATGAAATTTTTGAAAGACTATGATTTTGAACTTAAATAACTTCAAGGAAAAGCTAATGTGGTAGCTGATGCTTTAAGCAGAAAATCTCTTCACATGTCACATTTAATGGTCAAAGAAATGGAGTTGTTGGAAAAATTTAGAGATATGAAATTATTTGTGACTGTATTGCCTCGAAGTTTAGGTATTAGTGAAATAAAAATTGATAATGAGCTGATAGATAAAATTAGAAAAGCTCAGCATGAAGATTCTGGTTTAGAAAAGTCTTTGAAATAGGAAGGATTTACCAAAGGGGAAGATGGTTTGGTGAAATTTCAAGGAAGAATTGATGAAAGAAGTTTTGAATGAGGCACATAGCAGTAAGTTCACAGTTCACCCTGGTTCCACCAAAATGTATCAAGATTTGAAAAAGATATTTTGGTGGCTATGAATGAAAAAGGATATTACTGAGTATGTTTCAAGATGTTTAGTTTGTCAAAAAGTGAAAATTGAACATCAAAAGGCCTTCAGGATTACTTCAATCATTAGACATACCAGAATGGAAGTGGGAAAGTGTAGTCACTGGTTTTGTGATGGGTTTACCAAGAATCCAAGAGGGGTATGATGCAATTTGGGTAATCATTGATCGATTAACCAAATATGCTCATTTTCTACCAATTATGGCTCAATTCTATTGAGAGGTTAGCCCAACTATATATAAAAGAAATTGTCAGACTTCATGGAGTACCTCTAAGTATTGTGTCAAATAGAGACCCTAGATTTACTTCTAGATTTTGAGAATATTTACAAAAAGCCTTTGGAACTAAGTTGAGACTCAGTACAACATATCATCTTAAAACTGATGGTCAAACTGAGAGAACCATTCAAACTTTAGAGGATATGCTGAGAGCTTGCATCCTTGAACAGAGAGGTAGCTGGGGTAGATACCTGCCATTAATAGAGTTTGCTTATAATAATAGTTACCACTCTAGTATTGGAATGGCTCCATATGAGGCACTCTATGGAAGAAAGTGTAGATCTCCAGTGTGTTGGTATGAAAAAAGAAAAAAAACAGTTATTGGGACCGAAATTAATCTAAGAAACCTCGAGGCAAATTCAGATGATAAAGGAAAACCTTGAAAAGGCACAAAGCAGACAGAAAAATTATGCTGATAATAAGCGAAAACCTTTGTCTTTTGAAGAAGGAGAACATGTCTTTCTTAAACTTTCTCCTACCACAGGTGTAGGCAGAACCCTCAAAGTTAGGAAAGTGAGTCCTAGGTATATTGGTTCATTTCAAATACTCCGAAAAATAGGGTCAGTTGCTTACCAACTTGCTCTTCCACCTCATCTTTCCAATCTCCACAATGTTTTTCATGTTTCTCAGCTTAGAAAGTATGTCCCAGATCCCTCTCACATTCTTGATATAGACTCAGTACAAGTTAAAGAGAATCTTAATATTAAGACCAGACCTGCTCAAATACTTGATAAAAATTTAAAGCAACTAAGGAATAGAAAAATTCCGTTAATTAAAATGCGTTAGGAAGGACTTTAACCACAAGAGGCTACATGGGAAAAAGAAGAAGAATTGCGACAAAGTTTTCCAGAATTTTTCTTATGAGGTATGTCTAATTTTTATCTTTAACTTGTACTGAGTCTATATCAAGAATGTGAGTTTATATTAAAATATTTGAAATTTTTATTATTTTTTTTTAGATATTTGAGTATGTTTATAACTTTTTCATATAAATTATAGAATTGCATATAATTATCGGGTCATGCGATTGAACCAGTAATCCACTGGTTGAACCAGTAACCCAGTACCTTGATCGGGTCAATGATCGGGCCGATTTTAATAACATTGAGTTTAAAATTCATAATAATTATATGTTTATATTTAATATTATACTTTTTATACTTATTTTTTAAAAGAAATTAAAGAAAAAAAGTTACTTAAAATTTTCAAAAAATAATAAATGTATAAGACAAATATGAAAATATCGGTATAAAAATAATAATAATTATGATGATATGTGTTATGTGACAGGAAGAGATAAACAATGTTGGTCGAATAAAAAATGCAAGTTTTTCTCGCAAATCAAGCCAGTCAAGAGACACGTAGAATAATTTCATAATATCATTTTCTGTTTAAAGTGAGATAATAAAACAGTTTCTTAGCGACAAATATTCGGTAAGAAATATTAGTACATATCCTTAACAGGAGCGCACATTCAGCACGAGGTGGTATTAAATTGGATGTGACTTTTGTAATTTAAATTCTGTATTTCAGATAATATATAATGTAAATTATAAAAATTATTTTTTTTCTTCGTTATAAAGATAGTTGATGTGGTGTATTTTTATTGGCTGATCGCACTTACATCAATTGTATTCTAGATTTTTTTCTTTATCAGAAATCATCAAGTATTTTTTAAGTAAAGAATTTCTTTGATTTTACATTATTACTGAATGTGTATTAACTTACTTATAATATAAAAAATAATTTTTTTTTTAAAAGGAAATAAAATAACATGAACGAATTAAACACGTTCAATTCAACAAGGCAAAATACGAAAAATGTTGCTCAGGCTTAATAATTCTTCTATCATTACTGCACATGGTGCATTTAAGAAGAGTTGGAATTGGATAAAACGAGGCGTTGAATAACGATAATTAAGTTCCTGCACTGTCAAACACAATTCGTACCTGAACAGTAGGCAATAGTAAGTAGCAGTTTCTACTACCAATCAATTTCAATTCAATTCAATTCCTGTCAGTTTGTTGACATGGACCAATACTTACTCGACACCTTATCTCTGATGATCACTGTACTGTGTACCTTTCCTTTCTTTTCTTTTTTTCCGGAAAACTGGACCTTTTCTTTCTTCTTCCCAAACGTCCAATCATGTCATGAAAACGAGTTCATTTGCACGTCCTTATCTGAATCTTACTCATCTCTTTCTTCGGCACGGCAAGGTCACTTGCACGGGAAGAAGGAGGTGAAATAAATTATGTGAGAGAACACTAAGGGAAGACAGGAAATATTTGGCAGAAGAGATCGAAAAAGGAAGAAACCAACGCAAATATTGAAGAAGACAATGTGTGCTTGTATCAGGGCGGGCATGCATGTTTGTTCAGCTTAACTACAACAATTTCAACGAAAAACCAAACACATACGTACGAGGGAGATTGACAGAAGAAAGGGAGCACATGCTGCAATAGTATGAGGAACATGTCTTTGCTGTGCGTGCTTTCTTTCCTTTCTGTCAATCTCCGATCATTTTCTCTTTCTCTGCTGTTAATAACTCTTCTAACTTGTCCGTTCTCACTCTCTTTTTGTTAAATTTCTGGATTCACTGCTTCTCCTCGTGTAGCTGCAGACTGAATTCGGATCGCATTTGATGGTCGTATACATTTATGGATTCTGTTTCCTTTCTCTTACTTAGCCTTAACTCATATCTGGTTATGTGCTGCTTATTTTCTCTTATATCACTTTATTTCTTTTGAAAAAACAAATGATATATATACACGTGCATGCTATATAGTCATACAAAAAATCCCATCAAATTAAATAGCATTTCTGATTTTTTTCTAACTAATTTTTTTTTGTTTCTCCCACTTATACATTTTCCTTTCTATGGACTATGATATGAGTCTGTTCGAACTTCGAAACGAGGTTTTGCACAAAACAGGGAGCATTATTAATCGTATGACCTTAAAATGAAATATGGAGAAAAGACTTGCTTTTTTTGTTTTTTCTCTTTCCCTCGAAACTATATATCTCCTGCTTGTCTTTTACTCTATTGCAGGTTCACATGGCATGATGTGATCCTACTATCTTTCTTTTTCATTTAATTAATTATCCATTTCTTTCCTTAACTTAATTATAATATTTTTTATTGTATGCAACCGTATTAGCTTCACCAGGTGACTTTTGAGTTTTGATGGTATTATCCTTTGAGGATCTGGAGCAGAACAGAAATTCCAAACAGAGTTCCTGAAGGTACTTTTGGTACTGAACATATATATCCTTTACTGGCTCAATTTCGTCATTCTTTC